TACCGGCTGTCCGCGACTGCTATTCAGTATATTCGCAGCTATCCCCCCACCCCCATATCCGTGTAAACGGGAATCATAAGTAACGTAATGAGATTATTAATGTGGATTGCGTAGAAGTGATTCCAGATAACCCCTTACGAATTTGACATCCTTGTTCCGTTCCCTAAAGCCAAAATTACCCCAGATATTTCCAAAGCGTCGTTAAAAAATTGAAGCGAGGATTACTGGCATTTATGCATGTAATTATAATTATAATACGATAGCCACGGTGGTCTAGCGGTTAGACCGCTGGTTGGCCTTGTAATCCTGGGGTCTCGGGTTCGCATTTATAACTTGTGTTGGGCAAGGCCTTGGTCTAGGCAACACGGAGTTTTCCTTCGTGGCATCCCAACAATTACTCCATTCACACACAGAAGAAGGGAATGGCAAACCACTTCTGGATCATCTGCCAAGAACGTATATGAACAGGTCCCAGTCCGAGAAAAGGATGGAAGGATCCTGTTCATATGGACCTGTCGTCACATAGAACACTAAATAAATAAATAAATTATTATAATTTCAACGACTTGAAAACTACTTCTCTAGAACTGCCAATACATGGAAGTTTTTCTTTTTTATAGATCGAAATTATAACTAGGGTAATTACTGCATTAACGACATATTCCAATATACATTGGTTACCAAGTCCAGAAAGTTAGGTTAGGTCTTAATCGTAATTGTAATTTCCAAAACATACAAGTACAGGTGTGAAGAACGCGAGACCTTGGGTTGTTGTCCACCCCTCCCCCACCCCCTGGGCTTCACCCCCACCGTTTGACAATCGCTATTTCATGACAACCGTAAAATTAACTTTTATAGGGCTAATATGCCTACGCGTCAGCACGTTTCAGCTCCAGACTAGCTGAGCGGATTTTCACGACACTTAATATGAATGTTACGTAATTCGAGACTTCCCTAACCTTTTTAATTTCCTACAGTTGGTAATAACAATATGGCGGACGCACGGACTTTTGACGTGAGAGTGACACTTGTCTTTCCTGTGTGACTATAGATAATTAAATAAATTGTAGTTTTTGTAGTGTTGACTTTGGCTCTCGGTTTCACAAAGACCACTCATAAACCACTGAAGTTAATCATGTGAAATTTTATTACAGATATATCATAAACGTTCGTAGAAGTTTCATACGAAGTTGTTTTTGTAACTCAACACTTAAGAGGGCTTGCCATATCTCAGGTAAAATATCGCTGGTTTCTCACCGTGGAGGTCCTGGTTCGACTCCCAGTGCTGTCCATTTTGGATTTCTGGAGGGCAAAGTGGCACTGAGACATACAAAGTCCCACCCCATCGTAAGAATACAAAAGTTTATCGATCACAAACATGGCGAATGCGCGAATCTTTGAGGTTATACTCGACAGATTTACCGTAGACAGTCTGTAATAGTCCAGAACATAATTAAATGCACCTTACTAAGTTCTTTAATATACAGGTCTTCCAAATAGACGTATGTACACATTCTGAGAGTGAAATAAAGACATTTTAATAAAGTAATCATTAAATACGTTAGCATTAATATTTAGTGACTAGGTTATCATCGTAAACACAACAGGCGGAGATCAATAACATGCTTATTGTACCGTATTATAACGTCTTTTTGAAATACTCTGTATTAGTAATCGAATGCAATAATAGAACAATATGGCCAGAGTGGAATTATTGACATACATTGTATTTTCTGGGAGTAGTGGACATGTGTAATTATTTCACCAGGACATAACTGACATTTTTAATTTTTTTTTTTTGGTTCAATTGTCCCATTAGTCTCCACAGAATATTAACTACGCACTTGAAACTTGCAGAAAATCATGTTTGAATTACACAAAATAAGTAATATTTTGAAATCCCTGCATAAATATGAAAATTATGGCTCTTCGATGAAAATGCCTAATTCGATCAAAAATAACCTTGGATTATAAATCGGTCACAGAGCAGGTTTCCAAATTCAACTATTTACGTTGCAACGTTACGTACTACTACGACGAAGATTTAAATAATAAAAAAATAAATTTCAAAGCATATGTGAGGTAATCTCAAGAAAGTTAAAAACAAAAACTAGAAAAGACAAATTTAAAATTTTATAACATCATGGCGGTCCCAGTGCCTTCTTATGTCAGCGAAACATGGACGCTGAACAAAGGAGACTGGAATATAATTCCCCACGAACTGTCAAACGTTGCACTAGGACAAAAAAGTATATAAAAAAAGAAACAAATTTGTCCCACTAAACGCCATGTAGGTGCTCGTGGGGAACGCAGGTATAGCTCCAACTCATTCTTGACCTCGGCACTAGATGGGGTAAATGGTCAGCATTCTGGTATGGAATACACATTTTAAATATTCTTGTTTTATGCCCTGATTATCGTACCTTTTATACACCATCAGCCCAAGATAGCAAACTCCCATAGCACAAACTACCATTCATAATGTAGACATCATGAAGACTTGACATGACCAGTATCAATACACACATCCAACATCGCGGTTTGTAATACACTGCACATTTTCTACTCTGTTTTGATTTTGTCCGCTAGAGCCATCTAGTAGGTCTTTGATTAATTCGGCGATGAACCTTCGGGTTCGGTAAGCCATCTAGTTAGTTAGTTAGAGCCATCTAGTAGAAAATCAGGAGAGACAAGTGTGAAAAATGGCCGCTGAATTTTTCTTCTAAGGTTCGTTTACGTTCTGTATATCTCCGAAGGAAGTTGTACTATGGGTTTTTATCACCTCGGTCGGGTTTGAACACGCGAACCTTGGGTCCAGTGGTAAGCACATTAACCACTAGTCCACAGAGGGCAACGTGCAACATCCATACATTCCTGCGTTTATCAAAAAGAATACATATTAAGACTACAGCTTTCTGGATGCAAAAGCATATAACATAACCTCAAATAATAAAATCACAGAATACATTAAAAATGCATCTGCTCCAATAAGGTGTGGACATAAAGTTTTATGTAAAACAAATACATTTCTAGTATTTAAAATATGTATGCGTATATATGCTTTATAGTGTCTGTATTTTTATTCTTTCATCTAATACTCGACCAATGTGTAGGACTCACAATTATTTTAACCAACTTAAATGGAGTGAACAATTTTCATAATATTAGCTTTAACAATTAACTCCAAGTAACAACCTGTAATTTTTAATGTGTAATTCTCAACTTAATTGTAATTTTTTTAATACATAATTACATTCAGTGGCAAGTCACATTTAACTCTGCTTCAGAATAATAAATGTATCTACAAGAACCTGAAGATGATCCTAAGTGATTGAAACATGTTGCCCAGAGATGGGTGGCTTCTGCGTTGTTGTGCCGTGCAGTCTGATAGAAGTTTGCCAACGTTTTAGAGGTCCTTGCTGAGGCAAACTACACAGTGCTATAACCCAGAAGACAGTCATCTTCGGAGTCACCGATGTGAAAACCTCATATCCCAGAATTTAATTCTACATTGTTTTAATATAATTATATTGTGTGTGACAGAATCTTTGTTCCTTTATGTGTTATAACACCACAGTAGGATGAAAAAATGGATATCAGAATTTTCATTGACCTTTGTTTGAATCTATGCCACAATATTCAGACACCAATGCAAATAGATTTGCAGTTTAAACAAGGGTTTTTCTGTGATACTGATATTAAGTGAAAGATATTGTGGACAATTATATCTGATGGTTATATTTTTATATGAAACATATTTCATTGCTTTCTAGCACCTGTTTTAATTTACTAATGATCACAAATTCTGTGCTCCTTTTGGTATGTGACATAACCTACTTTCATACCAATAAGAAGCTTCTGATATATTCAAAGGAGCTCAGTGGTAATGTGAGTTCACTTTCACTGACGGTATGCTGCATTTCTACATGATGAGGTCCCCTGCGCATGACGCAGTAAAAGCTGTGTCCAAATCTTGCTTCTCTCTAATCAGAAAGCCTTTGTTACTTTTTAGTCTTGTTATTGGTGTGATGTAATATGTTCCACCCTTAGTTCTCCCCTAATTTATTGTCTGCAGAGTGAAGGTTGTTCCCTTCTATAAAAAACTTATGCTCTATTTATAACTACAATGAAGCAAAATCATTATTTAGATTCTGATGGTTCCTCAGCTGGTAAAGAAATTCTCTGCATTTTATGAAAATCTAAAGCTCATTAACATGCTTACAAAATGCTGATGCCAGTCCTTATCCTGAACAATCTGATTCCAGCTCACATCCCCTGTATTGTTTACTTAAGATCCATTTTAATATTATCATCCCATTTACACTCGGATTTTCTGAGTCGTCTCTTTGGGCATTCCGACAGCATTTTGTATTGTTTTCTTATCATAAAGAATGCTACATGCCTTGCCCATCTTACTTTATTTTATAATTCTATTAATATTTGTAGAAGAGTACAAATTATGAATCTCCTCATTTTGAAATTGTCTCCATTCTCCTGTCACATCATGCCTCGTAGTTCTCAGGACCCCGTCCGTAATCACCTCAGTCTGTGTCTTTCTATATTTCCCACTTTGAACTCGATGTAAGATATTCGTGGGAAAATATATCCTACTTATATAATGTTAATACCCACATTTGAAAATATTAAAATTATCTCTCATAGTTTAAGTGTATGGTCCAATGGAAAAGAACATAAGAAATTTCATATCGAAAACATTCGTGTATATATAATAGCTGAAATCTGCCTGTCTGCCTCGCCCTGTTTCTCTCAAACAGCATATAATAAATAAATGGTTAATACAGAAAAATATATCTTTTATTGGACCACGTGTAGGAAAATTATTGACCTCTAACCTCTTTCAAGAGTTAGGCAAAACTTTTCCAAATCCTTTGTCAAATATATATAAAGTACCTTGTTTTTCCCAAATGGTGCATTGTAGAAGAAATATATATAATATCAAAGTGAGCATTGTTGGTGTTTAAAATAAAATTGCATGTAACGAGAGAGAAATAAAGATTTTATGCCTGACCTACAGATTGCGCATTTCGAGCCTCTTATGTTCTTGGTAACTTTGCAGTTGAGAATGAGACCCGGTGTTATGAAGAGCTGGGATGTCTAAATGTCACAAGGGAGTGGTACCACTTAATATATCGCCCATTTAATGTGTTCCCTCTGCCAAGAGAAGTCATTGATGCAAGATTTGTACTCTACACAAGGAGAAATCCCACAGAAGTAAGTAATATGCCATTTAAAATTTCATAGATTTAGGTTTAAATTTAATATGCTCATTAAGAATTTCAACATTCCTTTCCAATATTTGTATCACACTAATTGTAAATTATATAACCAAATAATTGTTTATATTTCATAAGGAATGGGCCTTTAACATCAGCCAGCTTATTAATAAAGTCAGGCTGTACCAAAGTTCTGCGTTCTCTTCAGAACTTATTCCCACACATGCTCTACCTGAGAAATATCTGCCACTAATGGGGGATTGCCGGTCACAGTGGCCGCACGGTCTGAGGCGTGAGTCTTGTGCACTTGGACACTGTGACTGTGGGCTCGAATCCCTCTCAAGGCATGGGAGTTTATCCAAATCTTTTTATGTTAGAGGCCTTGCGATGGGCTGGTCACTTGTCCAAGTCTTACTACCAAATGTCTAATAGATCAAGAAACCTCCTAAAAAGGAGGCACCTATTCTCCACGAGGAGAAAAAAGGATATAAAAATGGGGGATTACTGTTTATCCAGTTCAAATGCCTCTTTCTGCTATATTTCTGGTTAACAGAAGGATTTTGTGCATACAAGTTTGCCTACTGTAATACAAATCTTTGAACTTTACTGTACCAATTTAGTACAGTGTCCCATTACAGAGGCTGTATCTTATTAAGCAGTAAAGATATGTAACAGAATTTTACATATAAATAAACTTATCTCAAAGAGATTTTGTTAGTGAGTTGGCACTGTGCTCGATCACACAGCACTGTTCTTTTGGCACTTACATGATAAGCGTCTTTAGTGCAACGGAGACTCCGCAGCTGAAAGAACAGTGGCTGAAGAAGTGTGTTGTTCTTGAAAACACATGATATTCCTTTTCATGCAATCTGAAGGAGTCTGTGAGATAATGCATCTTAAATTGTACATGACAACTGTGCATAATGTTCTACCCAAATGACTATGTTTGTAAAACTGCAGCTCCTCTAACAAATTAAGAAAGAAAAAATTATATGCTTTTATGTTACTATCCCTGTTCTGGATCAACTAGCAAAGAGTACAGGTAGTCTGAAAGGAGTTGCAGTGTCAGCCCGCAAGTTTCCGACTCCCTTGAGTCCCAGCAGTCAGCTCCTTTAATATCATAGGAGGGGTACGCTGTTTTCGGAAGAGTACACCAGAGATGCACATGACCAACGCAGCCTTGTATCCAAAACTGCAGTTCCTTTATTGTTAAAATTTTTCAAATGAAGATAAAGAGAGATGAAGCCACTTTACACAACTCTGGTGTGGTGAAAAGGCACAGCTGACATAAGTGGGAACTGAGAATCCCAGGGAAATTATCTGTCATGTCCATAAATCTGCAAAAGGCAATGTCCAGTGTGACTTGCTCCATAAATGCTGAATCCTAACTGGCATGCTCGAGAGCTACGTCTTCCTGCAGTTGGAATTGAAATTTGTCAACATGACAGTGCTCCTTCACATTACAGAAATGTCATTTGTAATGCACTCAACACAAGGTTGCCTGGTCCCTGCGGATGGGAAGAGAAGGCCCGATCCCTTGGCTGCCAAGGTACCATGATTTGATGCTTCTCAGTTTCTTCCTGTGGGTTTATGTTGAGAGCATAATTTGCTGGACAGGTGAACATAAACACACATGAAGCAAACACTGGTCACATGAGTCAGCTGTCTTCTGGGCTGTTGCTCCCTTTAAGTGCTATTCACTCCTCAGAGCAGAACTGGCAGTCAGGAAATCAATAACGTAAAGAAGTACCCACTCAAAAATACAGTTCAAGTGTTTTGATCTCATTAGAAGAGTGATTGGTGGTTATTCTCATGAATGGCCGTAAACATTTTGCTACTTCTCTGATGCGATTTCTGCCTCATTTTGAAATTGATTTTCTGCTCATCACTACTTGTGCTCCGTAAGTGTTTATGTCCACTCCATAGACATTTTAAATACAGTATGATATAGGAACAAATAAGATAAATAATAATAATAATAATAATTTATTTACATTCCATGGGTCCATAAGACAGTCAGATGACAATAGGATGTGGAAAAAGTCATAATAATAATGCAATACATATTATAAAGTAAAATTTGTACCATTATATAAATTTCACATAATACAAAACAAAGTATTCACCTAGAGAAATGATAAGCTACAAATAGATCTACCCATTACACACAAGAAAAATTTATTACTTATTTGTAAACATAAATTCATTGACAGAGTAAAAGGAGTCTGTAATTAAGTATCTTTTTAATGCTACCTTAAATTTCTTCTTCTTATTTACAAGATTTGTGTGATTTGATGGTAGACTGTTGAAAATTTTGATCTCTGCATAATACGCACTCTTCTGAAAGCACGAGAGGTTGGCAATTGGTCTATGAAGCTGATTTTTATTCCTTGTGTTGGCACTGTGTACAGCAGAATTAGTTTTAAAGAGTTCTTGGTTATTTACAGTAAAGTTCATTAACGAGAATATGTATTCACAAGATACTAATGGCACATTCATTAGTTGTAAAGGTTTGTACGGCGTCTCAGGAAACGTAAAAGTCAAACATTTGCATTTGCAAGATGTGGTGAGAAAAGTAGCCTAAATATGAAGCTTATTTTAATTTGTTATAATCCTTTTGAAATGCACTTCTGATTATTCAGGTTTTAAAAGTAATTAAGAATCGGGGCAGAGGATTTTTCCTCTAGCCGCTGCGTCCAGACCGGCTCTGAGGTCAACCCAGCCTCTTGTCCAATGGGTACCGGGGTCCTTTCCCGGGGGTAAAGCACGGCCAGGGCGTGATGCTGACCACTTACCCCCATCTGGTGCCGAGGCCAAGATAGAGTGGGAGCTATACCTCTGCTCCCCCCAAGTGCCTGCATAGGCATGTAGCAGGACGCTTTACTTTACTTATTTATTAATTATTTTATTTTATTTTAACAAAATTAATGTTGTTTTAATGACAGGGTCAAGTATTAAGGGTGCAGAATGACCAGACGATCTGCAAATCTAACTTTGATCCCAAGAAAGAAACCAAAATCTTAATCCATGGATTTATTGACACACCACTCAGCAATTGGGTGAAGGTAAATATGTAGTTAGATATACCGTACCATAGTATCTGTTCCTTAAAAGACATTAATTTTTAAGGTAAGTTCCTAATATATCCCGAAGACTTGTTGGAATGATGCTCGAAGTTGATTAATATTTATGCTTTTTTATACTCTGACAACTCAGAATTGTCATATTAGAGTCTATGTTGGAGGGCCACACACTTCTCTTTTGAACAAGAAATGTAGATTTTAAAGTAACCTAACCTTTACCATATTAATTAGACAATAGATTTACTGGCATTACTACCAGGCCATGATATTAATTGAACTGTTAATAAAATAGCGACTCCTACTTGTGCAATGGACGCCTAAAATGGGAAGAAAAGCGTACAGTGCTAATATGTTACCAAACTCAAAAGAATCCTGTTGATGAAAGACTCTCAGGTTGCAAGCCTCATCAGGTGGCTGATTGATGATAAGATATGGTTTATTATCCACTCAGCCACCTGACGCGGCTTGTAATCAGAGAGTCTTTTCATCAACTTCAGTCGCCGTGAAAGCTTCACTTTATAAATCCTGTTTATGTTCTCGGTTGTGACACCATGTGGACTCATAGGTAGATATCAAAACATTGGTATCTGCCTGTGAGTTAACACAGCATTACAACTTGGAAGAACAATATTGACAAATCTAGAAAAAAAATCTCTAGCCCCCAGAAGAGCTACATATGAATCAGTGACAAATATCCATGAAGGGACTTTGTCAAATAATTCAGATAGCATTTCCTTCTCAATAGGAAATGTAATGTTTTTTGGTTTTGAGTCAGAATCATTACTTTGTAGCTAATTCAGTTACAAGGATGGAGATTACAGTCTTGTTAAATGAACCACAAATAAAATAAATAAACCCACTGAATCAGATGATAATGTGGGATCCGAGGTTCTCATGGCAGTGAGTACGAAGATGGCCGTCTTCTGGGTTGTAGCGCCGTATAGCCTGGTAGAAGTTTACCAATGTTTCAGAGGTTGTTCAGACATCTAATTACACTGATATTTGTAAACTTCTACCAGACTAAATTGTGCTACAACCCAGAAGACAGCCGTGTCCAGATGATAATATGTATGAACTGCTTGGTCCCTGCATTGTATAAGACTATAGTTCTTTTGCTTTGCAGGAGATGCGTAAGGAACTTATTAAACACGCAGACTGGAACATTGTGGTAGTAGACTGGGCTGGTGGTTCCTTGCCCTTGTACACTCAGGCGACAGCAAACACGAGACTTGTTGGTCTTGAACTAGCGTACTTCATCAACTATCTACAGGTAATGCAGATATGTTTTAGTAGGCAAGTTGGGAAGATCTGCTGTTGCTATACAGAATAAACCAGATTTATTTAACATTATTAATACCAGAGGAATACTGGAAACTTTCATTCAGTTTAGAATGTATAGTCACTTTACAAAAGTAAAGAAACATGACAAGGCATATTATTGCATATCCAAGCCCATCTTATAAAAATGCAGATACCACATTACAGGCAGAAATTATATTTTCTTGTGTTTTGTTAAATATTTACTACATTTAATTTTATCGATCTTAATGAGCCCCATTTTATGTGATAAATTTTTTGTGTGGTGCTTTTAAGAAAAAAAGAGTGAGGTTTTACATGAATTTCACAAAAAGTACGTTATATATAAGACCAACACAAACCACAATTAAACAACCAAATTTCACAGAACTTATTTAATAATTCTGAAGACAGAATATGTAAATGGTTGGGCATAACTTTCCTTTTTTTTCCAAATAATACGTGGTAAACAGATCGACAATACATAAATTTAAAAAGATTGTGATTATACGTGACAGCTCAAATGAGAGATACAATCGTCTGCCTATAATTGTATGTCTTTTAGCCATAAACATTTTAACAGGGGTGTGGCATCTACGAGGTTGAGTCAGAAAGTTTATGCAGTTATTTACATAATTTTACCCAAAATTCTTCTGGCGATGTTAACTCCATTTGTCAATGAAATTACTGGGCATCATCAGTGTGGGTTCTATCTTAATAGATTTACAATTGATCAAATTTTCTTCATTTATCAAACACTAGGAAAAATTGGAGTACAATGTGACAGTACGTCAATTATTTATAGACTTCAGGAAAGCCTATGACTCAGTTAAAGAAGAAGCTTTTTAAAACATTTTGCTTGATTTTTATGTACCTAAGAAGCTAGTTTAATTAAACCTATAACAATATTCGTGTAGGTAAACATTTGTCCAGTACATTTCCTATTAACGATGACCTGAAACAGGTAGATGCTCTATTGTTGCTACTTTTTAATTTTGCCTTAGAATATGCCATCAGGAAAGTCCAAGAAAATCAGGGCGGCTTGGACACATCGGCTGTTGATCTGTGCTGATAATATTAATCTGTTGGGCGATAATATATATAATATGAAAGCAAGCACAGAAACTTACTTAAAGGCTAGTAGGAATGTTGGTCTAGAAATAAATGCAGAAAACACAAAGTATATGATAATGTCTCAACAACATAATTCAGGACAGAACCAGAATATTTTATTTATTTAGTGTTCTGTCTGACGACAGGTCCATATGAACAGGATCCTTCCATCCTTTTCTCGGACTGGGACCTGTTCATATACGTTCTTGGCAGATGATCCAGAAGGTGTTTGCCATTTCCTTCTTCTGTGTGTGAATGGAGTAAGTGTTGGGATGCCACGGAGGAAAACTCCGCGTTCCCTAGACCACGGCCTTGTCCAACACAAGTTATAAATTCGAGCACCGCCGGGAATCGAACCCAAGTGGTTTGCCATTGCCTTCTTCTGTGTGTGAATGGAGTAACTTTTGGGATGCCACGGAGGAAAACTCCGTGTTGCCTAGACCACGGCCTTGCCCAACACAAGTTATAAATTCGGGCACCGCCGGGAATCGAACCCGAGACCCCAGGATTACAAGGCCAGCGTTCTAACCGCTAGACCACCGTGGCCCAACCAGAATATAAGGACAGTTAATAAATTGTTTGAAAATGTGACAAAATTCAAATACTTGGGGATGGCATTAACAAGTCAGAATGACATTCATGACAAAATCAAGAGCAGAATAAATTTAGGGAATGCTTGCTCTCATTCAGTCCAAAATCTTTGTTCTCCTGCCTCATATGAAAAAAATAAAGGTTAAAATATACAGAAGTGTAATTTTTCCATTTGTGTTGTATCGGTGCAAAACTTGGTCTCTCACTTTGAGGGAGGAACATAGATTGAGGGTCCTTGAGAACAGAGTGTTGAGGAGGATATTTGGACCTAAGAGGGAGGAGGACAGATAAAGGAGAAAATTGCATAATGATGAGCTTCACAGCCCATACTCCTCACCTGATATTGTTACGATGATTAAATCAAGGAGGGTGAGGTGGGTGGGACATGTGGCATGCTTGGGTAGGGGAAGGGGTGTTTACAGGTTATTCGTTGGGAGACCTAAAGGAAGGAGACCGCTGGGAAGACCTAAGTGTAGGTGGGAAGATAGCATTAAGATGGACCTTAGGGAGATAGGAATCAGTGGACGGAACTGGATCCAGCTAGCTCGGGATAGAGTCCGGTGGTAGGTTTTTGTGAACACGATTACGAAACTTTGGGTTCCATAAAGAAATTGGGCTTTTCTTTTACAAGCCAAATAACAATCAACTTTTAAAAGAATACCCTGCACCATGGGGTGAGTGAGTTGTACATGCTCATTGTCACTGTATTATTTAATAAAAAATTAATAGCAGAAATTTTCTGATTCACCCTCAAACAAGGATGCTGTTAAAAAAGCATGCCGCACTTCACTCATGTTTGGAGTCGGTAGATTTTGAATTAGAAAAGGTGGTTGGGCATATATTGTACATTACTCTTCAAAGTCTAGTTGAAAGTAACTGATTATAAGTTTAGTTAAAATGAGTTGTGTCTCTCGTTATGGTTTGAATTGATACACAGGTGAATATTCATACAAATGCAATATGTTTAGCTGTCATTTCATTGATCTTTAGATTGAAACTAATTCTCAGACTCTGGCTGTAGGCAAACTTTGGTCTGGACCCAGCAGATGTACATATGATAGGTCACAGCCTTGGAGCCCATACAGCAGGTTACGCGGGTGAGCGCATAGCAGGCCTGGGACGCATAACAGGACTGGACCCTGCAGAACCATATTAAAAAAGTCATTTGTACGTCTGGACCCCACAGATGCAAAACTTGTTGATGTTATTCACACTGATGGAAAGTCAATTTTCCTTCTAGGTGAGTAATGGATATTGAAATAATTTTTTTGTTTATTTTATTATTCTATTTCTTTGTCAAGTTGGTTACAATATTAGACAAGCAGCTCCTATCTTGGTACCATTCTTCTATTGCACTTAGCTTTCAAACTACAGAAATTATCTTCACATGGAATCAAACCCAGGACAGCTTCCCGTGGCTGTTGACTTTGTTCCTGTAATCTCCTCATTGAAAAAAACAACTTTGGACTTGGTGCCATTCTTGCATTTTGATGAAAGACACCATATCCAGTGCCAGTGTTTCGAGAGCCATCTCTGCTCTCATCCTCAGGGCAGCTGCATAAGACACCGAGCATCTTTCATCAACTTCAGTCGCTGCGAAAGCTTCACTTTATACCTTCTTCCATTTTGTTTCATTTTATAACTCGGGACACCTCTGGATTTTCGACTATTGTAAAAATCTCTTTCTGGGCTCGAGGAATAGGCATGCCAAGTTTGGTGTAAATTGGTTTGTCCATTCTTGAGCTATAAGCAAACATATACTTCCACAATTTCAATTTTATATATAATGTATACATTTAGAGGTGTGTTTGTGTATGTAGGTACGTATTTTGGTGTCAGACTTTGATATTTACTGCTGAGTGATTTCAGTATCACAAAGTTGAGGAACCGAATGTTAAGACCGAATTGTTG